AGGATCAGGAGCAGATAGGATCAGGAGCAGATGGGATCAGGAGCAGATAGGATCAGGAGCAGACGGGATCAGGAGCAGACGGGAGCAGGAGCAGACGGGATCAGGAGCAGACGGGATCAGGAGCAGACGGGATCAGGAGCAGACGGGCAGGCTCAGTGGCAGAGGGTAGCAGAGACAGGACGTGGAACCAGAACTTGATGCAGGAACTTTAAACTGGTCTCCAGCTAGGTTCCAGGCTTACTGGGATAAAAACTGAACCTCCCCGCATAGAGAGCCAAAAACCCAGAGGACTCAGCGGGGGAGGAACAGCGGACGATCAGGAGACGAGAGACACAAAACCATCTGTCCACTGGCCGCCAGGATCCAGGACACGAACCTTAGAATAAACAGAACTGAACAGAAAAGAACGTCTAATGATCTGGCCCTGATAGCTGGAACTGAGGCCAATATAAGGGCAGGTGGATGAGATGAGTGATGATTAGGAGCTGGAGAGAGTGAAGCAGGTGAAAGGCAGGATTAACTAGGCTAGCTAGAAAGACTAAAGCCTTCTTCAAAGCTTTTCACTCCTACAAGGATTTTAGTTTCTGTTCATTTTTAGATTCTTCCTGAAAACTTTAGAGTGATCAAACCGTCGGCTGTTCTGAATCCTGACGCTTTGCTGCGGCTTTCTGACGAATCTGATGAAGTATTGATCTGTTCTTCTTTCTGTGGATGTGAGGCTCTGATGGCGGTTCTGGCTTCGCTAATCGCCCAGCGCTTTACTTTTATAGGCCGGTCCAGGAAGTTCAGCTGCGCCTGAAGCTAAAGTCTGTTCATCTTTTCTCACGCAGGTATGGAGGACAGAGCAAACGCAGCATCGTGGGCCGCTGGAAGTCGATCCTCTAAGGTACTTTTNAGCTAAAGTCTGTTCATCTTTTCTCACGCAGGTATGGAGGACAGAGCAAACGCAGCATCGTGGGCCGCTGGAAGTCGATCCTCTAAGGTACTTTTGATACTTTTGGAGGAAACGTTTTCAGTCCTTTAGCTAAAGTCGCCATTATTTATCCAGACTGATTTGGTTTGAACCAGTTAGGATGAGTTTAATGGTATAAAACGTTAAACTTTAGTTTAAGAACCGAGTGAAAGGAAAGAGCTCGGCTGAAATGCGAGTCTGTTCCATCTTAGCTCCTCGTTGTTTTAACCCTTTATAGGACGTTTTATTGGAATCCAGGATAAGAACTTATTACCTTTATAACATAAAAAAAATTTATATTTTGATGGTAAAGATAAATTTCAATGTAACAACAAGAAACGCCAACTTGCCCGAATATATTAAGAAAAATAACCAAAGTGCTTCTGTAAGAAATCCATGAAAAACACTGTGAGAGAGAAAGAAACACATTTTTTGGTCCTTAGATCAGGAACCTTCAAGGTTTTCCAGGCCAAAGACCCCAAACTGATGGTGAGGTGGAGCGGCACCCCCTGATTATAGATATTCTATTAAATAATGTTCTATCAAACTGGTCCTATAGTCACTCTATTACAGATGGAGTAATGTAACTAAAGTAATCCCTCCCTGGGATTATTAAAGTATTTCTGGTTCCTGGTTGATGGGACAGGTGTTGTGAATGAAACGGTGCCCAGTTTGGACCCCCTGGGGGGTCGCAGCCCCCCTGTTGAAGACCTCTGCCTTAGAGGCATTAATGCTGATACTGGAACTTAGATTGTTTAGTTTGTAAACCTAAACATAATTGTTAACGAGGCTTATTCACTTTTTCACTTTACTTTTTAACTTTCAACGAGCTTTTCACCGTTTTTCCAGCTTCATTTCCAGCAGGTTATCTATCATTCAGGGCTCATCTAGTTGGTCCAATGCTAACATGAGATGAGCAGCCATGTAGCAGCATCTATGCTGAATGGCTGGATATAGATCTAGTGCTTCTAGACCTCACTGAGGGATGGGGGGGTCTACATTTGTAAGGGAAAACTCTAACTTGGTTAAAGGGACTTTATGTGACAGAGCAGCATGAAGAAGAGTAGAACTATGGAGAATAGA